AATGTCACTTTTATTAACAACAGTAACAGCTATATAATATTGCTACAATTGCTTTTCACATAAAGATTTTAGAAATTGTTAACAAAGAAGGCTTAACTGCCCATCGTTTGTGTGTCTTATTTTACTCGCTACAAGAAACGGAGACACAGTGAGATGTAGCAACTCTCCTTGTATCGCAGAACTGAGCAGTTTCAAATTCTTGAATTTCTTCTAAAATCAATCTAAGCAATCAAGCCTGTTAAAGTATAATGAGTATATTTTCATATTCATTTCAGTGCTTTTTTTGTCCGCAGCCAGGGAAATGCCTGAGCAAATGGCACGACAGTACAGCAGCAGTACTGAAAGCAAATAGATAAGCACTAGAATAGGCTGCCTAAAAAAGGATTCCACTTCCACAATTACAGATTTTTAGGAGCAGATTAGGCAAATGTGTCAGAAATTAGGCAGGCATGTATACATACATCCTGCCTCGAGGAAGAACGAGGAACTAAGTGATCTCCAGATTTCTCTGAATCCTGTTTTCCATACAGGAGAAGCTTATATCCAGAAGGGCTATTAAATTGATTCATAGCTTACAGAGAAAAAAGAGCCGTTAGACTGCCTATGGGACATTAAAACTTGTGCAGTTTTTCCTTTACTGATCCCAAACTTGTGTTTGAAAAAAATACAACTTGTGTGTGATTTAAGCCCATGGTCCAAAGAGTAATTTGCCTCATTAATCCCTACCTGCTGTGGTGGGCCACTCTGATCCCTTCCAGATCCAGGATGGAAATTGGTATTCAATTTTTCTTTTTTGCACAGTTACTTTATTCATGCAATAATGAATGTTCAGGACTGTTAGCATGCTTTTTGTTCCTAATACCCTTTTGGTAGGATTTTTCCCTTTTTTTTTTTTTTTTTTTTTTACATTTCGTAACTTCTAGTTTTTGTATTTATGTTTGGCTTTTAATTGTCTTTGCTTTGAGATGGGGTTTTAGCCCATAGTCTTTTGACTCTGGAACCCTTACCTATTTGACAACAAAGTCTTCTTCAAGAAGTCTCAATTATCATTCATGCTTTTTAAATATTTTTCCTCCATTTTGCCTGCAATTTTATTCAATACAAAAATATTAAATTTTTTGAAGTACTGCAGATCCATAGAGACATATTAATTGGATCTGTTGTCTGCCCAAATTGAATGTTACTTGGTTTCATTCATCATTACTAGTTCTAGACAACAACTCATTTTTAGTCCAGTACTTCTTTTTTTCCTAGCGAATTCCAATAGAAAGTTACCACATGTTGGGTGCAATGCCTTTTGTGTTACAGAATGAATCTATTTGCTTTTGGAAATGTAATTTAAATTGCGCTTGCTTAAGAGAATAAATCTGCTATAGCATCCCAACTTTTCATTATGCAGCTGTGCATAATAAAACCCTTGTTTCCTTCTCTGGTATGATTTAGTGATGAGTTAAGATCCATAACAGAAGTACCATGGAGGCTTTGTTAGCTAATATTTATGAGCACTTAAGATCCTGCAATTCCGAGATATTAATACAAGAAGCAATATTTTTAGTTTGTATAGTCTTACTCCTTCACACCTTATTACCCATTTTGTCTCTCCTAAACAGCTTGTAGACAGTGATTGATAGAAACATTCCAGCCACATGCATCGTGTTTCGGTAATATCAATTCAAACATGCTGGAAAGTCTCGCACTATCTTCCCCTGCCTTTCCTGCCCTTCATTTTCTTGCCATCTCATGGAGGGAAACTTTAAACCATATGTCTGTTCTTACCCAGTGGTAAGAAGAAAGGTTAACAGTAATGGTAGTTATAGACCTGGCTTTGCTTTCCTCATCCTTTATCAGGTTTAAGTTCCTACAGGGGCAGGCAGCCTTTTGGGAGAATGAAATGGCATATTCTCCAGCTGTTACCGATTCATCCCAAACCTGTTAAACTGGTTCAGTGCACAGATGTTCCACCACTATTAGGAACACCCGTGCAGACGGTGGCTGTGCTGGAAACAGACTGCTATCAAAACAGATGTGCAAAAGACAGGCAAATATTACTTTTGTAAGAACAAAATTAATTTGTGATGGGTTTGCAGTAGAAGAACATAGTATTCTCCATTTGTCAAAAACATCACCATTTGCTTGTGAGGTATTGATATTTTTGATCAAATCATCATCCTGCTCATTGCTACAAGTCAGTAGAAACCTGAATTTATTCATTGTTCCCTTTTCCTGTGCTGTAAAACATGCATTAGTTACTTTACCATACATACAAGCAATTCTGTAAAGCAAGGAGGAAAAAGATCGATGTCTCATACCTTCAAGAGAGAACTTTTCTGTCTCTTAAGATGACGGACAGTAACAGAGATTATCCATCACTCGCTACACTTAGTACGCTTGCACTCTTGCTTGTGTGAGCTAAAACTACCTTAAATGACAGTGATGGGAAATGGAAGTTGTTGATCAGCTAGTATTCAATGATGTGCAACTGTTGTATCTTCACAATATGCAAATATTTGGTTAACTAGAGAAAAAAATATATCGAAACGTCTTCTAGTTTATGACAATTACTGACCTCAAGGTGAACAGGGAGCTGCACAGCCGATTCAAATGAAGCTCAGTTTGGCTGTCTCTGAAAGCTGCTTGCATCATAATGGCTTCTGATGAATGAAAATTCAATCTAGATGTTCCCATCTAGTTCTTAAAAAAAATTAAAAGTTGTATCAATTGCAAAATTGCTGAAGCTTCAAAACAGAACTGAAAGCCTACGCAGAGAATGATTTCCCACATCTACAGGCATAAGAAGCATGAGGGAAGCTTGCGTTTCTGCTCCTTAACTCCACCTTGTTCTAAAGGAACAAAGGAAGGACTATTACTTTGCATACTTTTTTCACATGTAGTGTATTTTGGAGAAATCAGTGAGACAGAACAGAGCACAAACCCTTCAAGCTTTTTTGCAGAGTAACCATAAAACTGGCATATCGAATTCTGCTGGCATGAATATGAGCTTGTATGACAGGGCTTTTGAACTAAATGTTTTCAAAAAATTAAATTCTCTAGCACTGATCTATTATTAGACCACGTAGATGTTTTGTGCCCACTAGGTGAACATCAGTTGCCAATTTGAGACTGCTCTATGTAGTGCTTCATTTCTACACAACAGCCATAGGCAAGACACTCTTGAACAAAACATCAGGATTTTGTCCCAGTAATTTTTACAA